TTGAGTTCTTGAGTCATCTTTTGAATAATTTCTTGAGATACCTTTTGACTAATTTCTTGAGAAATCTTTTGAATAATTTCTTGAGCTTCTAATTCCTCATTTCTTCCAGTCTGTTAATCTTATTTGCTATCCACACTCTGAACTTGATTTCTGACATCGCAGCCATTTGCTTGTGGATGTGGTCTTCAATTATGTCTTCCCTATTTTCCCTTGGAGGAGTTGATCTACTCTGGTTATTTGAGTTGCCAGAGTTTTTCCGCTGGTTCCCCCCCCCATGCTGAGTTTAGCTTGTTTGGAGGCCTTATCAGAACCATTCAGTAGATGGCTTCTTCTGGTTGCCCAGAGAGACAGGCAGAGCGTGTCTGTTGTCTTCTCCTAGTTCTCAGGTGCTGGGACACCCGGGGTGCAGTGGAACAGCAGCAGCTGCACAGAAGTGTGCGTGACTGGATTAGACCTTGTTCAGCCTGCCGGGCAACCGGGGGGCCGGAAACTGGCAGCAGCCAGATCAGTCCTGGTTCAGACCCTCTGGGTGGAACAGGGGTACTGTAGTGGCTAGATCAGTCCTAGTTCAGCACCCTGGAGCAGCCAGAGGGTAGGGTAATGGCAGCGGTAGTGCAGGGTACACGAGCGACCATATCGATCCAAGTTCAGCCCCACCAGAGTAGCTGGGGGGAAGCAGGGGAGTACTTCACCATCGCCCGTTGGATGCGTGCAGCGCTAGCAAGCTGATCTGTGCCCTCTCGGTGTGGGAGCCCAGAGAGGGGGACTCCTCCACCTCTGTCCAAGGGACGTATGTGGCTCTAGCAAATAGTTCTGGGCCCTCCAAGAGTGGTAGACCCCTCTACCACCACCTTCAGGGAGGGTGTGGCTCTAGCAAGCAGTTCTAGGCCTGCCCAGCTTGGGATCCTGGAGTGGGGGACACCTCCCCTGGCCCCCAAGGGGTGTGTGTGTCTCTCGCAATCTGTTTTGGGTCTACCTGGATTGGAAGATTACTCCACCTCTTCCTGCAGGATGCCTGCAGCATGCCTGCAGCCCTAGCGAGCGGTACTGGGCCTGCCCAGAGCAGGAGCCTGCTGCCTGTAATGCATGCGACTCTAGCAAGCAGTTTTGTGGCCCGCCTGGCTCCGTGAGGGCAAACGGCAACTTGGTTAGTCTGGAAGGTTAACACCTCCTTCCCTACCTTACACCTAGTCACTCGTGGTCCCCCAGGTCTGTGAACCTATTCACTCCAGTAGGCCACTGCTCCCAGGGTTTACCTGGCAAAATCAGCCAGAAATCTGAGTTCGGCAGGGGGGGCTTGCGTGTTTAAAATTAGGCTTCTGTCCAGTTAGATTTCTCTCCAAATCTTGGAGTGAGAGGGTGGGGACTCCTCAGAGTTCAATGTTGCAGGAGGTGAATATATACAGTTTTATATAGTTCAAACCTTCCCTCAACCATACACCCGGGGTGCCCCTTTGAATAGTCCTTGGGTGGTCTAACAGGTTTGAGGGGACCAAATCAGTTGTCCCAGTCAGCACCCGTTTCAGGTGGAAGAGTTCAAATGTCTCTGGAAGCTAGATAAGAGGGGTCTGCTTGCAGTTCAGATATAACTTGCTCCAGTGCTCCACGAGGGCAAAGGGACCCACCTGGCAAATGGGTTAGTTTGGGAAGGTTAATACCTCCCTCCCCACCTTGCACCCAGTCACTCGTAATCCCCCAGGTCTGTGGCCCTATTTACTCCAGTAGGCCACTGCTCCCTGGGTTTACCTGGCAAAATCAGCCAGAAATCTGGGTTCAGCAGGGGGGCCTTGCCTGTTTAAATTAGGCTTCTGTCCGGCTAGATTTCTCTGTAAATCAGAGGTTGCATTCGGCTTTAAACTCAGGTGTCAATTCTAGCCTCTGACTGCCCACTGCCTTTGTCTCAGCCAAATTAGCCCCCTGAGGGCAGGCGCTCCACCCAAGAAAGTTATGTGCGCCCTGCCTGTGGCTGCTGTCCTGAATGTCTGTTTCTGCACTGGTGTCCCCCGAGCTGACTCTCCTCTCCTCACGCCCGCACCACAGTCAGCACAGAACAGCAGCAGCCCTTTCCCCCTCCACTTCTCTCAAGGATATGCCCAAGAATCAGGACTCCATAGGTAATAAACCTCTAGATCTCAGAGTGGGTGGGTGGGTGGGAACTCCTCGGAGTTCAGTGTTGCAGGCGGAGAACATATACAGATTTATACAGTTTTACAGTTTTATGTCTGGCCGGAGGGTGCTGTGGCATGCCAGCAGGGGTAGGAGGTCCAGTTTTTAGGGGGTCTCTCCCATGGAATAGAGTGGGAGGAAGTTTGAACTCTGCTTGCTTGTTTGCATGGAGTATACTGCGAGCCCTTGGTGTGGGGGAGGGGACTCCCATACACTTGGTAGTGGATTTTGTACCTTTTGGTTGTATTTCTGTGGTTGCAGCTCGCCTCAGCAAGGTTGAAGTGCACTCTTCAATCTTCTCTCTTGTCTCTGCTCCAAACCATCAGCCAATTTGCTAAGCTTCTGTACTTTCAGCCTCCTTCTGGACAGGAGCTTCTGTAAAAAGCTGGCAGCAGTCCTCCATCTTGGCTCCGCCCCCCAAAATCTCTCCCTTTTCTTATAAGTGCACCTGTCCTATTAGGGTTCTACCCTTATGACCTCATGTGACTAAATCCTTATCTCCTTACTTATCTCCTTATGGCCCTATCTACACATAAAGTAACAATAATGGTAAAGCTTCAACATGTGAATTTTGAGGGAACACAACCAAGTCTGTGACTGAGTTCTTAAATACAGAACCAAAAATAAGATCCATAAGAAGAAAATTTGATAAAATACAAGTCATGATTATTGAAATTATTTGTGCTTCAAAAAATGCCACTGAGAAAATAAAAAGGCAAGTACAATATTCAAAGAAAATAATTATAAATCATGTATCTGATAAATAACTTGCAATCCCAAATGTATAATGAATTCATAGAACTCAAAAATAAAAAAAATAGCTTCTTTAAAATGGAAATGTTTTGACTAGATATTTCACAAAAACATCTACAAATGGCTAAAAAAAAATGAAAAATGCTCTACATCATTATTCATTAGAAATTGTAAATTAAAGCCACAATTATATGCCATTATACCCCACTATAGTAGTTTAATGCAAAAGACAGACAGTGTCAAGTGTTCACAAGTATGCAGAAAAATTGGAACACTCAGGTGTTCCTGATGTGACATGTAAATTGCTATAGTTACTATGGAAAACAGTGTGATAGTCTGTAAAAATGTTAAGCTTATTACATGAACCAGACATTTCACTCATAATCTATCCAAGAAAAGGAAGACATATGTCTACAAATGAATGTTCATAAAATAATGTTCATAATATCCGGTATCTGAAAACAATCCATATGTCCATCAACTGGGGAATAGTTAAGCAAAATGTGTTCTATTCACATTTAATAAGAAATAAAATTTAATGAATACTTACTAAATAAAACAATGAAAACAATATTTCCCTTTCTAAAAAAAAAAAAAATCTTTTTTTATTCTTCTCTGTGAACTGGTAGATGCCAGAGGGGAGACTGAGAAAGAAAGATTTAGTGAAAAGATGTTTTCTTAGACATTTCAAAAAAAATATTCTCCATATTTTGGTGGGACTGCAAAATAATACAACAGTTTTGGAGGGAAGTATGGAGAATCCTCAAAGAACTCTAACTAGACCTCCCATCTGATCTTGCAATCCGATTACTGGGCATCTACCCAGAAGAAATAAAAAAAAAACAAAAAAAAAAAACAAACAAAACTTTTTATCATAAGGACATTTGTACTAGACTATATATAGTAATTAAGTGTACAGTTGCCAAAATGTGGAGACAACCTAAATGCCCACCAATCTAGGAATGGATTAACAAACTGTGGCATATGTATACCATAGAGTATTATTCATCCAATAAAAAAGATGAAGATTATGCATCTTTTGTACTAACTTGGATGGAGGAGGAACACATTCTTCTTAGTACAACATCACAATAATAGAGAAACAAGAATCCAATGTGTTCAATTTTAATATAAAGACAATGATAACCTAGTGCATGGGGGAGGGGATAATGGCAGCAGAGACAGGGAAGGAAGGAGGGGAGAGGAGGTCATGGTGTTTGGCACACCTCATGGAGGAGGAACACATTTATAAGAGGAACTTTGCCTGACAAATGAAATTAGTGTAACCTGGATCTTTGTACTCTAAATGAATTCCCAACAATAAAAAGAGAAAAAGAAAATTATTTTCTTCATGTTGGTTCCTAGATATTGCTCAGATAAGACACTTAATTCTTCTATGCTATTTTCTCCAAGTAACTTTTAAAAATAATCTACCAGGAATAAATGACAAAAGTTTATCAAATCATAATATTCTGACCTATATATTTTATTTATATTTTATTTTACCATGAAAACTTTAAATTTCTTGTTAGTGTAAAATTAGATATGTATATTCATACTAGAATAATGTTTATATATTTCATAGTCACAAAATAATAATAAGAAATTTAATTTAAACGTTTAGGTTATTAAAAGTGTCTCTTACATAGTCTATTTCTGAACTGTCACTTGTATTTGTTTGGATTTTCTCTGGAACTATGACTTGTAGAAACGAATTTGGAGAACCTAAAGAGAGGAAAAAACAATTATGACCCTACCTTAAATTTTGACTGAATATCTATTCATAAGGCTTACTTGCATATGTATGAGTGGCTCATCACGTTTGTAAACACTTAATTTTTTAAAGTGTTTACACTTAATTAACGAATAACATTTGGTTTAAGTGTAGTTATTAAAAACCAATATATCAGTGGGGAAGAGGCATTTAACTTACACAAAATGTGTTGTTCCTAAAGAATATAGAAAATGCATACCCAAAGTATCAAAGATATACTTCAATAAAACTTTCCTGAAATAAAAGGTTTAAAATAGAAGACCAGATAGTATGGTGTATTTTAGGAATAACTGGTAATAATTAATCAAAACCAAGATATATTGTACTAAGGTTATTGGAATTCTAACATAAAGAATTCCATGGGAACATGAGATAAAAAGGAAAAGAAAAGGTGTGAGTAACTGTAAATCACAATTATAGCCCAGGATGAAGGAGGGAAGAGGAGAGGAATGGGACGGGATGGGGGGAGCTTTGACGGAGGGAGGGTAAGCAGTGGGACTACACCTATGGTGCATATTGCAAGAGTACATGTCTAGTCTATTAAGTATTAGAGTACCAATGTCTTAACACAATAATTAAGTAAATGAGGTGAAGGATATATTAACTAGTTTGATATAAGCATTCCAAACTGTATATAATATCAACACATTGTACCCCATAAATGCATTAATGTATACATGAAAAAAATGAAAAGAACTGATGGTGGATATAAGGAAAGAAAATCAAGCTGACTTGAGAATCTCATTGTTAAAAGACATAATATGTGTAATAGCTTAAAAAACCTTTAAGAAAACAAAGCAAGGTCCCTATAAATTTATACCCACCACAAGTGTTATTTTAAGGTATAAGCAAAAGGTAAATATTCACTAGTAAAAACACACACAAAAAAACATAGTCCATGTGTGCCTGTGATGAAAGTCAAACTAATTTCTCCCAATAAAGATTTCACCAGAGTTGTGATTAATGGACTAGTAATAACCATTAAATAAACTTAAATATAGAGCAAAAGCTAAGACAACCAAGGCAATCATACTTATATAATAAGTGGAAATGTTAAAAGGTATAAAGGTATAGACATAATAATGCAAATAAGGTTAGATAATTAAGTTCACGAATTTATCCTAGAAAAAGTCCTACATACCTCACTGAGAAATATCACTGTTGTAAACTGTAAAGTACTCCCCTGGGGAAGCTATGCATAGATGCAAGAACTCAGTCCATGGCCATTAGACCTGTTCTTACATGAGGACAATTAATTTAATGAGATTATTCTAGAAAAATGCTACATACCTCATTGCTAAAGGTTGCTACTGTTTCTTTCAACATATTTCACTTGGTAAGCTATGCACTGATGCCAGCTTCTAGTCCACCCTTGAAAGCTTTTTCTGGGATGAGTTTACAAAGCTAATTGTCAGACCTGTCAGTTGTATGATGATAGCTTTGATGGCCATTCCAGAAAGGAGTTCCAAAATTGCTTTGAAGGGTGGCCTAGGCATTGGGTTGGTGCATAGCTTCTCAACAGTGACCATAAGTGACACCCAGCAATGAGGTATGTAGCACTTTTTCTAGGATGAGTTCATGAACTTAATTGTCCAACATTGTACAACAATGCTAGGAAGTGTAGCAAAAAAAGAGAAAGAACATATATGAATATTTATTTCCTTAAATCCACTATAGGTAGTGGTGAAAAAATGTTACTTAAGTCTAAAAACAAGTAGAAGCAGAAACATACTGTTCCACAGTATAAAGACCCATAAAATTGAGTTTAAATATAGCCAGAATCATTAAAAGAGACAGCTAACATCATCATGAATAGAGAAAAGTTGAAAGAACTAGAACAAGATGAGGATCCTCACTACACTACTTCTATTCAAGATTGTACTGGAAGTCCTAGCCAGAGCAATCAGGCAAGAGACAGAAAGAAAACACATCCAAATTAAAGGAGATAAAGTCAATGTCATTGCAGATGACATAATCGTATATTTAGAAAAACTTAAAAACTATCAAATATAGCACAGGATGATGGAAATAAATAGAGTGGGAAGGGAGGGGAGAGGGGCGTTTTGATAGAGGGAGGGTAAAAGATGAGACCACACTTATGGAGCATACTACAAGGGTACAAGTCAAATCTGTCAAGTTTAGAATATAAATGTCTTAACACAGTAAACAAGTAAATGAGGCAAAAGCTATGTTGATTGGTTTGATGTAGCCACATCAGATTGTATAAAAAATTAACACCTTACACCCCACATATGCATAAATGTATTCATGATCTATGTGTATATGAATTAATTAAAAAAAGAAAACTCTTAAAATTCATAAATAAAATTCAGTAAAGTTGCAGAATACAAAGGCAACATACAAAAATCAGTAGTGTTTCTATTCAAAAATAGTGAAGTAGCTGAAATATCAATCAAGAAGAAAATCCTATTTATAATACCAACAACCCCCCCCCAGATATGAATTTAAACCAGGAGGTAAATGATCTCTACAAGGAAAACTACCAGACACTAATAGAGAAATTGAAGAGGACACAAACAAATGGAAAGGCATCCCATGCTTATGGATTGGAAGAACTAATGTCAGAAACATATTCAATGCAATAGCTTTCAAAATGCCAATGCCATTTCTCATAGAAATAGAAAATGCAATCCTAAAATATATATGGAATCAAAAAAGAGTATGAATAGCCAAAGAAATCCTGAATAAAAAGAACAAAGCTAGAAGCATCACACTCTGTGACCATCAAATATAACCCAAGACTATAGTAAGCAAAACAACATTGTATTCATATAAACATAAATACCTAGACCAAAGGAGCAGTATAAAGAACACACAAATAAGTTCACATATTTATCATGAACATATTTTTGACAAATTCACCAAAAATATACACTGAGGAAAGAATATTGTCTTCAAAAATGGTCCTGGGAAAATTGAATATATATGCCACACATGATACTTCACTCTTATCAATCTCTTATCATACACAAAAATCAGCTCAAGATTAATTAAAAACATAAACATAAAATTCAAATCCATAAAACTATTAGAAGAAAACACAGGGAAAATACTCTAGGATGTTGATCTTAGCAAAGATTTTATGCCTAAGACCTCAAAAGCATAGAAAACTAAAACAAACATAGACAAATGGAACAAATTATACTAAACCAAAAGCTTCTCTGCAGCAAAAGAAACAACAGAATAAAAAGGCAACAGGTAGAATGGGAGAAAATACATACAAACTATTTATCTGACAAGGCTCTAATATCCAGAATATACAAGGAATTCAATTCAATAATTACAAATGTCAAAAAGTGGATAAAATCAAAGAAGACATACAAATGGCCAACAGATATATGAAAAAATGTTCAGCATCACTAATCATCAAGCAAGTGTTAATAAAAACCACAACGAGACAGCATCTTACCTTAACTAGAATGACTTACTGAAAAAAGACAAAACATTCCACTACTAGGTATCTACCCAAATGAACATAAATTATTTCATCAAAATTTCACCTGAATTCATGTATTATAACTTTTGCTGCCACTTCTAAGCCTTTGCTCCTGTACAGCATTTCTAAACCTATTCTGGGCCAAAAAGACATCCATTGTCCTATTGGGAAAAATCTGGTCCTGGCAGGATTCACTACCTGCTGAATAAAGGGCCTGTGGCCTTAAGTAGAAATCAGAAGCAGCCAGTCAGTAGTAGCCACAGATCTTGGCAAGCCCTGCTACCAAGCTGGTTTTAGGCTTTAGCTGTCACCCACTATGGTGCAAGCTGCGGTGGCCAGGGGAATGCCCATGTCAGCCCTTCTCTAACTCCAGGAAGCCCAATACAGAGAATGACTAGTTTTGATTGGTGAAAAGAGAGGAAAGAGAGTGAGAAACTTGCCTTGGTAACCCAAGGAATTCTCCCTAATTCTACTCAAGTTCACCAAGATTATGTATCTAGGAGTCTTCAAGAATTGCAGCATTCCTGAGCTAAGGAAACATTTTAGTACTGAAATGCTGCAGTAACCATGTTTAGGTTACAATACTAAATACTCTTTGAATCCTCAGAAAGCCTACTCAAGAACAATGAGTAAAGACAAATGCAGTATGCAAAGACTGGAATAAATAACTCTTTAATACCTAGACACTGATGGATCTATAAGCATCAAGAACGTTGAACAAATCATGACCTCACCAAACAGACTAAGGCATCAGTGACAATCATAGAGACACCAAGATAAGTAAACACTCAAGAAAAGTATTCAAAATAGCTGTCTTAAGGAAGTGCCATGAAAGTTACGATAACACAGGGAAGAAATTCAGAATTCTATCAGAAATATTTAACAGAGAATGTTAAGTTATTTTTTTAAAAAAAATCAGAAATTCTGGACCAGAAAAATTCAAGTGACAAACTGTAAAATGCATCAGTGTCTCCCCAAAGCAAAAGTGATTAAATAGAAGAAGAAATTAGTGAGTTCAAGACAGGATATATGAAAATACACAGTCAAAAGAGAAAAGGAAAAAAATTAAGCATGCCTACAATATCTAGAAAATAGCCTCAAAAGAGCAAATCTTAGTGTTATTTACCTTAAAGAGGATCGAGGGAGAAAGACTGGGGTAGGTTCATTCAAAGAAACAAAAATAGAGAATTTTCCAAAACCAGAGAAATAAAGTATGAAAGGACAAATAACACAAAACAGATTCAACTCAAATAAGGTTAACTCAAGGCCTATAATAATCAAAATCTTAAATTTTAAGAATGAAAAAAGGATCTTAAAAATATCAAGATAAAATAAACTAATTACATATAAAGTAGATCCAATATGATTTCTCAGTGGAAACTTTACAGTCTAGGAAAAAGTGGGCTGATTTCTTCAAAGTGCTAAGAGATAAAAGCTCAACCCAGAATATTACATCTAGCAAAATTGTTCCTTACACATGAAGAAGAAACACTTTCTCAGACAATTAAAAGATGAGAAATTTTGTCATAACAAGACCTGTCTTGCAAGTGATATTAAAAGAAGTTCTTCAATCTGAAATAAATAAATAAAAAATAAACCACCTGAAATTATAAAACTCATTGGAAGAAGTTAGTGACAGGAAATAAATGAGGAATACTATAACACTATTAGAGTTGCAGCATGAAAACCACTTTCTCTTTTGGAGGAAGATTTAAAAAGAAATCAATCCAAAATAATAACTACATCTATTTTTCAGATACAGAGGCAATACATAAAGATATAGAGATAACAAAAAGTCAAAAGCAGGGGGGCGAAGTTAAAGTTTAGAGTCTATTAGTTTTCCCCTTACTTTATTTTCTTAGTAAATAGAGCTAAGTTGCTGTCAGTCTTAAAATATCATAAAATATTATTTGTAAGTCTCATAGTAACAATGGAGTGAAAATCTACAATAGATATGCAAAAAGTAAAAACAAGAAATTTAAACATATTAAGGAGTATAAGAAAGGAAGGAAAGAATGAAGAATAGGAGTGAGAGAGTGAGGGAGAAAGAGAGAAGGAAAGGATAGGACTAGAAAATACATAACAAAATACAGTAGTTAAGTCCTTACATATCAGTAATGACATTGAACATAAATGGACTAAATTCTTCAATCTAAAGGCTCACAGTGGCTGAATGGATAACAACACCAACAAAAACTTAACTATATTCTGCTACAAGAGAATCACTTTACCTCTAAAAATGCACATAACCTGAAATGAAGAAATGGAAAAAAAAAAAAAAAAGATGCATCAACCGAAAGGGAACCCAAAACAGAAAACAAGAGTGGATATACTTACATAAAATATATTTGAAGACAAAAACTATAAAAAGAGACAACAAAAGGTATTATATAATGAAAAAAGGGTCAATTTAGCAAGAGAGAACAATTGTAAATACCTACACACCCAACACTGGAGCACCTAGATATATTAAGTAAATACTATTAGAGATAAGAGAGATAGATTTAAATACAGAAATACTTGGAGACTTCAACACCCCACTTTGAGCACTGGGAAGGTCCTTGACACAGAAATTCATAAGCTAGGTGTGGTGCCTTCCTCCTGTAGTATCAGCTACTTGAGAGGGTGAGGCAGAGAGAATATTGCTGATTTCGTGAGTTCAAGAATTTTAATTGTAGTGAGCTATGATTATTCTTCAGCCAGAGCAATAGAGTAAGGCCCTTTGAAAAAAGGGAAGAGAAAAAGAAAAGGAGGGGGAGGGGAGGAAAGGGGGAGAATATGGCAGGGGAAAGAAACAGAAAGAAAGAAAGAAGGAAGGAAGGAAGGAAGGGAGGGAGGGAGGAAGGAAGGAAGGAAGGAGGGAGGGAGGGAAGAAAGAGAAAGAAAACATTAACAAATATTAGACTTAATCTGCAATATAGAATAATGGACCTAATCAACAGACAGATAATATTTCATCCAACAAAACAGACATATTGTTCCCATAAACAAAAAAGGGACCCTCAAGGATAGACCATGTCAAGACAGAAAAGAACCTTCAAAAATTCAAAATAACTGAAATAGTATCAATTA